ATATATTATAAAAAAGTCATTTGAAGATATAAATAAATATAATAAAATTAGATAAAATTAAGAAAATTTATACAGATAAAGAATTATTATTGTATAACTATAACTAATAATTTAAGAAACATAATATTAAAATTAGCTGCACAAAAAAGCAAAATAATTAACATTACAAAAAATTCAATCTTAGAAACAAACTAGATACAACTTAGAAGTCATCACATTATCAAGCACTTAAATTACAAACACATAAATTCAAGTAGACACAAACTTCAAAGTTTAATTGTTTCAATAAACAGACTTAACTACTATCAAAAACTATTTTAGCAACCATATTGCTTATAATACATAACAAGGACTAGCACCGATAATTAGAAACAAACTGACAAATAAGATGATACTATTCATCAAAGTAAATATCATCCGTCATCATCTTCATCTAGTGTATAGACACTAGGTAATTTTCTTTCAATAGTTGATGGTGGTTCCGAAATTTCTATCACATCACAGAATCCAATCTGCAGGTAACAATATCTTTTTCTTTACCTTTCTTGTTTAACCATATATTATATTTCAAATAAATTCATATCAAATTCACTCAATGTCTCAATATAATAGATAGTAAATTAGTAATAAAGTTGAATATTAAAAAGTTATAAACTTAATTGATGAAGTTAATTTTTTTTCTTTTTTTAAGATAATTTGTGGGGCGTACGCTTTCAACGCTCCACTTCAGAGACGTGCCCAAATGCTTGGACTTACGCCCTGATCTCTTGGGCGTATGCCTCAGAACACTTTCGCCTTATGCAATTGTCCAGGGGCAGTATTGGAACGCCCCGCCCTGGGACAAGGTTCGCCTTACGAACGCCTTTTAAAAGATAGGTTGAGTGAACAAGTAAAAAATAACACTGTTTCCTATATTTTATTTCACTTAACGGCCAACAATTTTTCAAAATCATTTTGCCTAGGTAACTAGATGATCTAATTTAAAACTCAATCAGGAATTATTATCTGAACTTTTCCTTGCAATATAGAAGAGAAAGGAGAGCAGGATTTGAGGGTACATGAATTTCTAACTGCATGACCCTGCTTTATTCCCCATGTCTTCAGTGACAACAACAATATTTTTCCATTTCCTTCTAGCATGGAGGTTTATTGACAATTTATATTTTCTAGTACGCTAATCTTACCATCAACGGCACTCAACCACAATGAAACAGATCAAGAATTCAAGGAAGGGTCTCATACTTTAGACTTTTAGGCTGAATAGTGAACCTCAATATTGATTGGATAACCACGTGAAAAATCCTAGATTTTGGTGAGATGTTTGAACCCCAATGGATATCCAGGTATCTCTAGAGAATTCCCATCAATTGATGGGTATAAATAGAATTAGTCCCATTTCAAGTGTAACCTCAAAATTAGAATACCCATCCCTCCTAAAATTCTTTTAGACATGGGTAACCCATGTACACTTAGGACAAATTGCCATCTCTAGTGGTAGGGGGGAGAGAGTGTAAGTGAGAAGTTATGGGTTCAAGACTTTCCATTTACACTAAAAAAAGAAAGAGAAATCAGTGAATAAGTCACTCAATCATCCTGCTCAAAAAAAAAAAAAAAAAAAGTCACTCAATCTGTCAAATAAATAAAACAAATAGTTGAATATCACGAAAACTTGCTGGCCCATTGTGAAGTTTGCTCAAAAGACTTGCACTCAATTGTCAAATAAATAAAACAAATAGTTTAATATCAAGAAAACTTGCTGGCCCATTGTGAAGTTTGCACAAAAGACACGCATTGACTTGCAAGCGATTAAGTGGCGTCTTGTCCAATAGATAAAAATTTTGCAGGACCCTATAATTCCCTGTGGTGTCTTGTCCAATTAAGTAGCTCTGTGTTCTGCATGCAAAGTTGGGAATGATAAATTCTTTGACTAGGAGGAAAAATTCTATTTTGCTTTTGGTCAGCTTAGTGAGTTATGAAATTATGCATCAAAATTATATCTAGCAAATTCAATATATATAATTTTCTAGAGTAAATTTTAAAGGAATGGAAGCAAATGTGGAAGGCTGCTTTGGATACATGGTTAAGAATCTTCATTTGTTGTTGAATGGTTAGGCTTAGAATTTCTCTTGAACCTAAAAATGTGTCTTTATGTGTAGAAACAATTACTCTTTATCTCTTATAAAATTTTCCAGTCTGCATTTGTTTTTTTCTGGTAGGACCCATTTTCGACTAATTTTCTACCAAAATTGACAACTGAATCTTAGATATTTTAATTAACTGTGGGAAAGGATTCGTCCATTATTTCCCCTCTAATCCTAAAAGGGTTGGATGTAGGCATGTCAATGGATAGAATTTGGGTTGAATCCCCTTGATCCAGATTTAGATCCATTAAATTTAATTAGATTCAGACATAGACCCAAACCTTTATAGGTCTGAAAAAGCAAATTCAGATTCAAACCCTCATGGATCTGAGTATGCAATATGTATTCATTGTATTTTTCTAAATATACTAAAGTAAAAATATATTAAAAATATATAAAGTTCAAAAATAATATAAGTGCCATCTAATTTTTACTTTCGAATAATAAAATTAATATTCAAGAAGTTGAATGCAATATTGTGAACTTAAAAAAATTGTAATGGACTATTTCTATTTATTTTCAAAATTTTGTATTTATATCCAAACTTTCATTTGTTTGCCCTTATTTTTCTCTTTTACTTTTCTCCTTTTCCTAAAAAGTTTGTACTAATTACAATGACAACTAGAATTAGTTTGGAAAATAAAACAATAATGAAGTCTTACTGTATTCGATTTAATGGCCATAGAATATTAAATTATTTTGTAAATTTAGTAATATGTATGTATGTATGTATGTACACACACATATATAGATATAATTTAATTATACATATATGGATTTGGATATGGATCATGAGAAACCAGATCCTACCCAAACCCACGACTTTCTTATAAGATTTGGGTTAAATTAAATCCATATCTTATCCAAGTGTATTAGATTTAGATTGAATCTACGTAAGATTCAACCCATTGACATGTCTAGTTGAAGGCTACATATCTCTCTTCGATATTTGGTTCTTTTGGTTTAGAATATCTAGGTATGATTTAGCTGTTTCCTTTTTATCCCCGCGGCAAACAGGACATAATTTATCTGAATTTTCTTTTTCCTACAACAAAAGAAATTAAAGACACTCTATTTTTGGTACAATAAATTGTTCTTGTCATTTTATAAGTTCTATTCATATTAATTTGTTCAAGTAGCATTTCTCGTGTAGTGCCCTACATGCAACTTTTCGCCCCTAAACTATACTATTGTCACAAACTGCACTAAAAATTTTATTTTAAAATTCACATTATTATATTTTTTTCTAGCATCCAACTCAGCAACAACTCAATTTTTGTGATTTTTTGATAGAAAAAAAAATGCACGTGAGCGTCAAATGCTACCTATAGCAATCATATATTTTTGTAGGAAGAAATTAAAGCTGACTGGTTATGCAATGGAAACTAGTCATTCCATTTGAAAATTCCCCATAAAATATTGCAATGCAGCAAAAAGAATTTCTTCAGGGAATAGCTGTTACCAATAGAAAGAACATTGAACAAATTTATCAAAAATTATATAGAAAGATTTTTCATATGACACTCCCCATGGTTTGTTGCATATGGAGAGCTTAGATGCATCTGTTTTGTCCAAAATCTACAAAGACACTGGGTTTTGGTCTAAATTAGAGAGCTAAAAAAAACTTCAAGGTGCAAATTGTACACAAAATGTTAGTTTCTTGTGCAATATATGACTCGAGTAGTTCGTTATAGGTAAAAATGACATTGAGGGCTGTGTGATTTTCTCATTAATACCATAAGCCAAGAATTAGTTTTATACCAGAAAATTCCAAATTCTTGAAATAAGAAAAAAAGGAAAAATCGAAATTCTCATGATTAGTATATGATGCAGAAAAATAGATGCGAGTGTGAATTTACTATTCCTACCCTTTTATGTTGAATGCTTTCCTTTGGTTTTGAGCATTTCCAAACTGTCATAATTAGTCTGTCAAAATTTAGAAAAAAGGAAGCCAACTTGGTGGTATTATATGTATTTATTTTCATTTAAAAAGGATACCCACTCAGATCTAATTCCATCCGTGAAACATTTTTGTTTTCATTTAACGTGTCAAACTTGAAATCTAATTAAGCTAATAAAAACAAGGAGACAATGACATATAACTTTAAAATTACTTTTTCGATTTGTTTTTTGGTGCAATAATTAGTTCTTTGTGTTCAAATTTGTTGCATAGTTGCGATATTTCACGGTCGAAAGAGTAAAAAATGGACTATTCCAGGATTCGAATCTCCATAAAAGCCAAGACAGTGGAAAATTGGCTTTCATTTCCAACCATGTTGCTAATGTTCTGACTTTGTGATTGGTCCATTATGTTCCTAAGCATCCTTGGATTTGCTTTCCCAATGAATTTGTTGTTATCCTATCCTCAGCATTATTCTCCAATCACATGGCAGGAAAAAAAAAAGAGAAAAATATTAGTTCTCAGAGAATTATTGGTTAACAATTGTTCATAGCATTCAAAATTACGTGAGAGGGTCAGTGCGGCTCGGGTCTAGTACGGTTTGGTTCGATTATTATATTTTATTATTATTTAGTGTATAATTACATTACATTATTATATTCGGGTTAGTGATGTATATGAATAAAATATTTGAGATATATCTAGTGCAAAATTATAATGTATTTGTATATAAAAAATTTAAACATATACAATAACTGGATAAATCACACGAAATACAATTATATTGAGTCCTTGTCACAAAATTACAATATTTGTCACCTATTTTCTTAATATTTCTTATTAGATGCCTTTGCAAATGTATGACATGGACCAAAATATATCCATGGGAATTCATATTGACATGCAAAATGTCCGAACAAGATAAAAATTAAGATGATCACAGCAATTATTTTATTTTTAAATTCCTCTACCTTGCTCTCCCAGTGTTAAATACAAGCATGCAACTCCCTTCTCAATTGTGACAAGCCAAAAAGCCTAGTAAACTATCTACCTTACAAGAAATGGGAGAGATTCAACCCAAACCACATGCCCTCCTGTTGCCTTATCCTCTCCAAGGCCATGTCATACCTTTCATTCACCTAGCCACAAAACTTGCATCAAATGGCTTCATCATCACCTTTGTTATTACAGAATCGATACACCACCAAATAACGAGATCCAAAAACCAAACCAACCACTACAAAGAAGGCGGCATCAACATCTTCGCCGAAGCACGAAAATCAGGGCTGGACATAAGATATGCAACTGTGAGTGATGGATTTCCACTTGGATTTGATAGATCACTCAACCATGATCAGTTCTTTGAAGGAATTGTTCATGTTTTCTCAGCTCATGTCGATGAAATTGTGGGGAAGTTGGTTCAGTCTGACCCTCCAGTTAATTGTCTGGTTATTGATACTTTTTACGTATTTGCATCACCAATTGCCAGGAAGTATAACCTTGTGAACATTTCTTTCTGGACTGAACCAGCTCTAGTTTTCACTCTCTATTATCACATGGACCTATTGAGGATAAATGGTCACTACGATAACTATGGTATTTCCTCTATCTCTCTCTGGTTGCATGCATCTTAAATAATTCTTACCTAGTAGAACTATATATTATATATTCTGCTAGTATTGTAAGGGATAAGCATATGCATAGGACAACAAGACTATATCAACCACAGAATGAAGTATATATACCACTCATTCATATGGACATATTAATTCAGGTTTCTTATAGCAAAAAGAATCTTTTTCTGCAGTTTCTGCGTTAGCCTTGCCTCCCTGTTATCATCTTTTTGGACTAGACTGCTGTACACCCTTTAAAATTTGGTGTTTATTTCATAGATAAATGTGAGGAAACTTATTCTTTTTTTCTTTTTGAAAGTTATTTCGAAAGAACTTGGTACATACAACAGGTCATGAAGAAAAAGAGTGGAGGTGGGTAGCTTCAAAAACTACTAGGAATATCTATTTTTGGAATAGTAAGAGGTGATGTGAGAAAGTGACACAAAGGAATCCTCTCTTGCTTGATAACGTAGTAAACGAATATGGTATACTCAAGTCAATAGATATATAATGAACTTTTAAGTTAAAAAATTCCAATTACATAGAAGTTAATTTTATGGAGATATAAGTTCATTGTAGATTAATATCAAGAAATATGTAAAAACCGACAAAACTTTTACTATAAAAAGAGTATTTCTAATTATAGGAAAAACCTCAAAGTAGTTAAACTTATCTAAAGCCCGATATATATCGAATTCTAAGTGCTCATGGTGTATTCTCTTGTTCCTTAACTAGATAAACGAGAGGACATCATCACATACATACCAGGGGTGGAGTCAATAAAGCCAACCGATCTGACATCTTATCTTCAAACTGATCCAACCACAGTGGTGCACCGGTTAATCACCAAAGCATTTGTGGATATTCGAAATTCGGACTTTGTAATATCCAACACTATAGATGAACTCGAACCACAAATAATCTCGGTTCTACGAGAAAATCAACCTTTCTATTCAATCGGACCAATTTTACCCACCGGTTTGACCAAAAGTTCGGTTCCGGTGAGCATGTGGTCCGAGTCGGACTGTGGCCCGTGGCTCGATACAAAGCCTAAGGGCTCGGTTTTGTATATTTCCTTTGGCAGCTATGCTCATACTAGTAAACATAACATTGTGGAGATAGCTCATGGTTTGCTTTTAAGTGAGGTAAATTTTGTTTGGGTTCTTCGGCCTGATATTATAAGCTCAGAGGAAACCGATTATCTTCCAACCGGATATGACCGATTGATAGAATATAGTGGCATGATCGTGCCATGGTGCTCGCAAGTTGATGTGCTTTCTCATCCAGCAGTCGGAGGGTTTTTAACGCATTGTGGATGGAACTCTATATTGGAGAGTATATGGTCTGGTGTTCCAATGATTTGTTATCCATTATTGACCGATCAATTCACAAATCGCAAATTAGTGGTGGATGACTGGAAAATTGGGGTTAATTTACACGATAAAAGGTCGGTTACACGCGAAGAGATTGCTGAGAATATTAGATGTGTGATGAGTGGGAAATCTTCAGATCGATTTAAGCAAGAGATCAAGAAAGTTAAGAAGACATTGGAAAATGCATTAGCAAGGGGTGGTTCGTCACAGAAAAATCTGAACCAGTTTACTATGGATGTGAAAAAGAAAATTCGAAAGAATCAATAGTGGTTTGCTATCAAGTTTGAAGATCAATCTTGATTTGTTTAGCATAGGAATAAGGAGTCAAAATTCGCCACTCCGACTTCCCATTTAGTTTCTTGAACGGGTATCCTTTGTATTGAGTTTGTCAGGTCACTATTTCAAATTAGTAGTTTATTTGGCGCAAACATTTTTTTTTACTTTATGTTCTTCCAACTTTACCTTCATAAAATTCACTTATTACTTTACTATCTAAACACAAATTATTAAAATAACTACCTGTAACTATTTTTAATCATAACTCATATAAATACATCTTGACAAAATGACTAACTCTAGGCATTATAACTATTAAAGTAACCATTATTTGATGAGAAAAAAGGTTAAAATACCACCATTTACTTTAGTAATTAAAGTTTTATATAAAATTAATTCATAAAAAATTATTTCTGAATTGCACATATATACCAACTTAATAATCCTGATACCAAATTAGTAAGATATTATTAACTAATTCTTAATAATCCTCATACCAAATTAGTTGTCGCAGTGTGACAAACAAGCTCCGAATACTCCAGGATTGGAATGTTTCGGTTAGTTTCGTGACATTTGGAATTCAAAATTAGTCTCATACGTGTTTTGGTTACTTGAAATGTAAAGGGATCCAAAAGTTTTGCCTCAAATTACCAGAGGACATCTGCAAAAAATTACTAGGGGACATGTTTGTGAAAGACTTTTGCAAGTTAATTAAAATCATAAATCACATCGACTGGACATTTTATGGTATGATGATGATTTGCTAATGTGATTCATTATTCTTCTGATCAGTTTTGTCCTTTTCCAAAGATTAAAAGAGGAGGTCCTTGTCAATTTGTCATGTCCTGTACTCCAGTTCGTGGATGCTGATTGATTTATGTGTATTCGTCGGGGTTCATGCAGGAGTTAATAATTGTGTTAGGATGATTGTAGGTGTTAGTATAGAAAGCTGTCTAAGCATAATTTGCTTAGCAGCATAATTATAGGAGATTTGTTTAGTATAATAGTCTTTTATTATAGGAGATTTGTTTTTTTTTTTTTTTTTTTTTTTTAAAGGATACCATCCCTTAATATATTAAAAACCGAGAAAAAAAATACATCAAATTAGAGGGGGGCCAAACCTGACCTCTGTTAAAGAAAAAGAAACATGTAATGATGGAAAATAAACACACATATAAAGGAATTGTAAAGACATAACAGATCAATCCAAAGAAATCATCCACACGAGGGTGCTCCACATTTGTGTGACTGCGAGTGAGCATTGGAATTTGGTTTGAGATCTTGACGTGTTTGCATTGTTTTACCTTTTTTTGAAAGCTGTTTCTTCGCTTTCTTTGAAATCACTTGGGTAAATTGCTGTTGTACTAGATTCTGGTCTTGATCTTTGTGTTTGTCGTGTTGTGAATCGTCTTCTTCTTCTTTTTTGTCGTTATTGCATGTTATACTTGAACGAATAAAACTAATTTGATGTGGTCGGGGAAGTGTACCATGTAATTTTTCCCATTTAACCTCTTCGAACACATCTTTGAAAGCTGGCACTGGATTTTGAGGCACCGTGGTTTTCGTTTCTGTTCTTGTACTTGTACTTGGAACCACAAGGAGTGGTAAGGCAATGTCGGGGTCAGTGGTGTCGACCTTTTGATGATTATCGTCTCCCAAATTCTGCTTCTCAAAAGCTTGGGACCCATCACTTTTATTCCAATTAGAATTTTCAGCATTTTGATTTCTAATTGAAGTATTGTCGGCCATTTGCTGCTGACCATCTCCCAATATTTGCTCCACTAGAATATGGGACTCCTCACAATCATTTCCAGCAATGTGATCGCATGGTCCCTCCCTTTGGTCAACAACAACGAACTTTGCTTTTCCATGCTTGACAGCTTTTTCGTTGCAGTTTTGCCCTAGCACAGCAGCCCCCTCTATGGGCTCCATCATGCCTGGGCCTGCTACCACGTTCAGCTCCACCAGCGCCAATTCTCCCGTATTAGCAGTCCCTTCCAGCTCTTCCTCTGGTTCGCCAATCACGCGGTCAGCCATAGCGTGAAGAATGGCATCAGCAGCAGCCTCTATCCCCTTCTCCACAAGCACAACTGATAAGAGTATATTTTACGTATTTTTAGTGTGCTTTATTAATTAGTTTTGGTGTGTTTTATTTAGTTTTATAAATAATTAACTAAGGTTTTGGTAAAAATCTACATTTTATGTTAAAGTGGCTAACATTGCATTTTTATGGATTTTTATGGTAAAAACTTCATATTTTGTAGGTTTAATGATTCAATCATCAAATGAAGTGCATTGAGAAGATATTTGGATGATTGATGATGAATTAAAGTGGTGAAAATAAAATATGAAGTGTAAAAAGGAAAAATGCAATTTGAATCAAGAAAAGTCAGGTTTTGACAACTCTGACACGTTTTGGTATTTTGACTATATCTGGAGCTACACTGATCGGATCAAGGTGATCTTGGTACCATTTTGAAGCTAAGAGATATATCTACATTTGGTATGAAGACATCAAAGTCCAATTCATCCGTTTTCATAGTCCAAAAGTTGAAATACCGAAATTCAACTCAGCTGTCCAAAGTGGAAAACAGAGTTCCGACCAGTGTTTAGTATTTTGATCATATCTCAGTCTACAAAGCTCCGATTTGGATGATTCTTGAAGCATTGGAAAGCTAACTCAAAGATATACAACTTTGGTGTTTTGCACAAAATCCAGTTCGGCCTGCATCATGGAGAAAATTGCAGTTGAAGTAAGGACAAAGTGAAAACGCGAGTGCACAAAACGCGAGTTGTAGACGCGTTTTGTAAAGGCGCGTTTTCTGGCCGAAATTCTGCAATTTGCTCAGTCAATTCTCTTGTGTTCATACCACTTTCCAGCTATAAGTTGCAAGAGAATTCGGTGCACATGCTTCAGAAGACAAAAGGGCAGACAAGGTGGCTTATTTTCAAGTCAAAAACATTTGTTATTGACTATCCTAACAAAGTTGAGATTTGGGAATCAAAATGTGGAAATTGACTTGGAAAAATGGAGCTCTTAAGCAGTTTATATGCAGAGACATTTTGGGTGGTCTGAGATAGGAGGATACGGGAGAAGCTTGAAGAGTGCAGAAATGTAGTTCTTCCATTTCCTTTGTGTATGATAGTTTAGCTAGTGTAGTTCATCCATTCTTGTATATTATCTAGATTAGGATGAAAATGGAGGATGAAGAAGGCAAGGAAGAAAGCTCATGTGACAAGGGTTGTATTCCTTCCAAACTCTTTATCTTTTGTATTTGATTCCAAGTTTAGTTAATATACAAGTTCTGGATTTTATATTTAATATGTGTTTTTAAAGTTTATACCTTGGGTTTGGTTGAACTTCCTATGATTGTTAGTGTTTATTATTTGGCTATTTGATTGCTAGTATTTGAGCAAGTTATTTAGCACTTTAGCTCTTTAAATCATGATTAATCTGGTACCATTAATTGTGATTATCTAAGGTGTTATTTCTGCAATGAAAATTGAGATTTAACATTAGTTCAAGAAGTGCTAAACATAGGGAGTACACTCACGAGAGTAGAGGTGCACCTATGTGGTTTTTAGTGATTCATTTCATGTAATTTCACTGAAGAAATGAACTTGTAGCTAATTTCATAACCATGAGAATAGGTATGGATTAGTTATAAGTATAATTGATTCACTACGAAAGTAGGATTCAAATGCATAAGGAAATTACACCATAATTAGCCTAGATGTAGTATTCAATGATCCAATTATAGCACTTGCATGAGTAGTTAGGGATACCACAACCTAAGGAGCTTTTATTTGTTAATTTCTTGTATAATTTCAGTAGGTTAAATTTGTTATAATTCATTGATAGTCTAAATAATAGAGAAGCTTTAGTAATACCGGTAATTGTTCACTCTTCCCTGTGGGATCGACCCGATATATACCCTAAACTACTAGTTGATCTGTATACTTGCAGTGAACGGGTGTAATTCGGTATTTTTTAGCTTGCACGTATGTAAAATACCCGTCAAGTTTTTGGCGCCGTTGCCGGGGAAGATTTGGCAATATCGGTGTGAAGAGTAACTTTATTAGTTTAGACATTTTATTAGTTATTGTGTGAATGTTATTTTCTGTCATTTTAGTATTTTCTGTGTGTATGCATTTTATCACCTATTCTTCTTACTAATTTTGCTCTTAAGTTGTTTAAAAGCAATTTTAGGTGATGAGGAGGATAGATCAATTTGAAGGACAAAGCTTGAGAAATGAAAGATTGGCAATGGATGGTTACCTAGTGCAAAGCTCCTTCAACAGAGGTAACCAAGAAATTACTGAAGGTATGTCTTTTGAAGATGGTTTAAGGTGCTTAAAGGCAAAATTTGATGTTATGATGGACACAATTATGCATGAAATTGAGCAAGCGAGGAATGTTAATACTTTTAATTCTTATCATGTGATTTGTGACTTGTGTGGAGGTTATCATGCTACTAATACATGTATGCAAGCACAAAATGTGGATTATTATTATGAATTAGAGCATTACAATCCCTGTTTTGATCAATATAGTGCTAATTGGATCAATTCTCCTGCTTATGGTTGGGATAATCAATGTACTTATAGTAATTCTTCATATTTTTACGATTACCAACCTGAATGTGTCCAATATGAATCAAAACCATCTTGGGAGTTAGCAATAGAAAGAGTAGCTAATGATTTTAAACCATCTTGGGAGTTAGCTTTAGAAAAATTAGCTAATCTGACTTCTGACCGTTTTGATAGGATTGAGGAAAGAATAGATGAATTAACTTCTCACTTTGGCAGAATAAATGAGCAATTGAATGCATTGTGTGAGGTTATTTCTTCTAATAAATTGCAAAATGATCCTAGCATGAATGGTAGGAATGTTGTATGTGAAAATGGATTGCATTTTGATGAAAATGATGAATCTCAATTGTGTTTCAATGAGCAAATGTCTATTTCACATGATAATATCTTTGGAACTAACTTTGAACCTCAAGAGGTGAGTTTTAATGACTCATTTTTCACCCCTCTTGAGGAGTGCATTGAAAGTGTAGGTTCTAAGGGTATTGCTGCCCAAGATACTCTCATGGCATTCCCGTTGGTAAGTTCTCAAGTGGTGCATATTCAAGGTAATATTTATGAAACACTTGGGATAGGTAAGTCAATTCCATTTCTCCTATCATTAGATCATGTGACTTTTGCTATAAAGTCACCATTTAATGATCCACCACGACCAAAAATGGTGGATTATTCGTTAACTAAGCCTCCTTGAAAAATGAGGTGAAATAGTCAAGCTATTGACTTTAAAGAAGCGCTTATTGGGAGGCAACCCAATGTTTGTTTAAGTTTATGTTATTTTGGGGTGATTTTATGTTTAAAGTATATGTTTGAGTTATTTTGTTATTTTTCATTTGTAGGTATTGGAAATGGAAGCAAAAGTGACCAAATGAGGTGAAAAAAGCGAAATTTGATCAAGGAACTCAACCCCTCAATTTGAGTAATTGTTGTTTTTGATTCGTTACAAGGGGTTAAAATGCATATTTTGATCATTTTACATGTGCATGCATTGAGAATTTTAGCAAACAAATGATCTATGATGCATTTTGAGTGATTGGGGTACAAATGGTAATTTTTCAAAATTGGCTTTCTGCAAAAATTTCGCAGAAGAAAACGCACTTGGGCTGAAAACGCGCCTTAGAATCGCGTTTTCCATAATCGCGTTTTAAATTCTGCGCCTATACTGAAGAAAACGCGACTTCAAAACGCGACAGGAAGTCGCGTTTTCTACAAAGTCGCGTTTTCCAGCCTGTTCAGAAACCAAAAATGCGACTTCAAATACGCGACTCAAAGTCGCGTTTTTAAGCATAGTCGCGTTTTCGATCCTGCAAGATATGTGAAGAAACGCGACTTCATAAAACGCGGCTTGGTGGCGCGTTTTGATGAGTCGCGTTTTCGGAGAAAAAAAAATGCAGATTCCTTGATTCTCTTTTTTCTTCTTTTCCTCATATATTTTCTTGTACCTTGAGTTGCTTATTGTATATTGTATATAGGTACATCACGAAAACAAAGGTTTGAAATTACGGATCGCCATTTTGTTTTATTAAGCCTTTGTTATCACTTTTGTTTCTTATTTTTCATTTTTAGGATTACATCACTAATGGTTATCCAATGAAACTCATGAAGCGTTGGAGATACACGGACAATGGATTTTGAAGCTTCATATTCAATCACATCATAGGGGAGTATTACTTTCTTTATCTTGATTTTCCTTTTTACACATTGAGGACAATGTGTATGTTAAGTGTGGGGGGAGAATTGAGATTATATATATTGTATGTGATTGAATTATTAGTTGCAAATATTGGACTTGTGTTAAAATTCAAATTTTTTCTAAAATCTTGTCCAAAATTGCAAACTTGCCCCAAAAAGTTTCATATTTTTTCAATTTTATCCAAGGGGTAACAAGTTTCATACTATTAGTAGTTCAAATTCCTTCTACATTTGAGATAAATATATGTGATTTGGAAACTTCTTTTCTCATTTAACTTGGAAATGACTATTATGTGATTATAATTTTTGCATTTGTAGGAAAGTATATCTTTTAAAGTGGAGAAAATTATGCCTATATTTTTTTGCATATTTGATGAAATTTCTTCTCTTTCTTGGATTTTATAAGTTAAGTGATAAATATGGTCAATAGGTGCAAAACTCTTCTCATGATTATTCTTTTGAGGAATTTATGTTAAAAAAAAATAGAAAATGAAAAAACAAAAAAAAAATAGAAAAAAAAAGGATTCATTCTACTCCAATGATTCTTGTACTTAGTAACCGGGAGTCTTCATCTACAAATGTCGACTTTCGCGTAAAATGGTACTTGAATTAAGAGTATGCAAAGCAACTTGAGTATGTGAAGTGTTGAGTAACCGGTGATCTTCATCTAAAAATGTCGATTCTCGCGTCAAAAGGCATTCTCACATCTTAAGTAATATTTAGCTACGTTATATGAATAAATATCCTTTTAAGTAGAATAAAGAGATGATCATGAGTTTAGGAAGCATTATTATTGACCATATGAATTACTTGCTTGTGAAATTGGGAAAGGATGAGAAATGGAATTAAACTTGTTATAATTATGGTATAATTGGCTCTCCTTTACTTGATATTATGAGTACTTGAACTTAATTGAATAATTGCATAATGGTTATTTACTTTGTTTTGAGGAAATGAAGTTGAAATGCTACATATGCTTATTTTCAAATTTTGGATCATTGTCGGTTTGTATTTCTTATTGCTTGAGGACAAGCAATGGTTCAAGTGTGGGGGTATTTGATAAGAGTATATTTTACGTATTTTTAGTGTGTTTTATTAGTTAATTTTGGTTTGATTATTTAGTTTAATAACTAAAATAACTAAGGTTTTGGTAAAAAACTACATTTTATGTTAAAATGGCTAAACATTGCATTTTATGTATTTTTATGGTAAAAACTTCATATTTTGTAGGTTTAATGATTCAATCATCAAATGAAGTGCATTGAGAAGATATTTGGATGATTGAAGATGGATTAAAGTGGTGAAAATAAAATATGAAGTGTAAAAAGGAAAAATGCAATTTGAATCAAGAAAAGTCAGGTTTTGACAACTCTGACACGTTTTGGTATTTTGACTATATCTGGAGATACACAGATCGGATCAAGGTGATCTTGGTACCATTTTGAAGCTAAGAGATATATCTACATTTGGTATGAAGACATCAAAGTCCAGTTCAGCCGTTTTCATAGTCCAAAAGTTGAAATACCGAAATTCAACTCAGCTGTCCAAAGTGGAAAACAGAGCTCTGACCAGTGTTTAGTATTTCGATCATATCTCAGGTTACAAAGCTCAGATTTGGATGATTCTTGAAGCATTGGAAAGCTAACTCAAAGGGCTACAACTTTGGTGTTTTACAAAAAAGCCAGTTCAGCCTTTATGATAGAGAAAATCGCAGCTGAAGTAAGGACAAAGTGAATACGCGAGTACACAAAACGTGACTTGTAACCGCGTTTTGTGTAGGCGCGTTTTCCGGCCGCAATTCTGCAATTTTGCTCAGTCAATTCTCTTGTGCTCTGACTACTTTCCAGCTACAACCTGCAAGAGAATTCGGTGCACATGCTTCAGAAGACAAAAGGGCAGACAAGGTGGCTTATTTTCAAGTCAAAAACAATGGTTTTTGACTATCTTAACAAAAGGAGATTTGGAGAATCATAGCAGAAAGTTTTGACTGGTAAGGGAAGGATTTTTCATCAGCTTATATGCAGAGACATTTGGGAAGATTATGATACGGGAGAAGCTTGGAAGTGCAGAAATGTAGCTTTTCCATTCTCTTAGTATTAGTTTAGCTTAGTATAGAGTAGTATAGTTCATCCATTCTTGTTTATTATCTAGATTAGGATGAAGATGGAGGATGAAGAAGGCAAGGAAGAAAGCTCATGTGACAAGGGTTGTATTCCTTCCAAACTCTTTATTTTTTGTATTTGATTCCAAGTTTAGTTAATATACAAGTTCTGGATTTTATATGTAATATGTGTTTTTAAAGTTTATACCTTGGGTTTGGTTGAACTTCCTATGATTGTTAGTGTTTATTATTTGGCTATTTGATTGCTAGTATTTGAGCAAGTTATTTAGCACTTTGGCTCTTGAAATCATGATTAATCTGGTACCATTAATTCTGATTATCTAAGGTGTTATTTCTGCAATGAAAATTGAGATTTAACATTAGTTCAAGAAGTGCTAAACATAGGGAGTACACTCACGAGAGTAGAGGTGCACCTATGTGGTTTTTAGTGATTCATTTCATGTAATTTCACTGAAGAAATGAACTTGTAGCTAATTTCATAACCATGAGAATAGGTATGGATTAGTTATAAGTATAATTGATTCACTACGAAAGTAGGATTCAAATGCATTAGGAAATTACACCATAATTAGCCTAGATGTAGTACTCAATGATCCAAATATAACACTTGCATGAGTAGTTAGGGATACCACAACCTAAGGAGCTTTTATTTGTTAATTTCTTGTATAAGTGCAGTAGGTTAAATTTCTTATTATTCATTGATAGTCTAAATAATAGAGAAGCTTTAGTCATACCGGTAATTGTTCACTCTTCCCTGTGGGATCGACCCGATATATACCCTAAACTACTAGTTGATCTGTATACTTGCAGTGAACGGGTGTAATTCGGTATTTTTTAGCTTGCACGTATGTAAAATACCCGTCAACAACCGTAGACCCTCCAAGCTGGTTCAGTAAGCACGATGCATCTCCCACAGCAGTAGTAGGGGTGTCAACGTGCAGTGACCCCTCGGAATGGCTCTTACTCGAATTCTGTGTCGCACCAGATTTCACCCCATCTCCTTCACTCACCCCCCTTCGCTCCTCATCCTCTGTACGCTGCGTGTTAGCTGGTGAGGAGCGACCCTTTGCGCCCATCACCCCTGTGACCAGATCCTCCTGCGTCTTGTGCAAGCGCAAATCAGGGTGCTTCACACGGCAATGATTCTCGCCATGCCCTTGACGATAGCAGTGGCTGCAATAATTAGGGAGGTTCTCAGGGATAAGAACCTGCCAAAAACCATCCCCATCTCCCATATCGACCCACACCCTCGACGGAATCGATTTGAGCAGATCCACCTCAACACATACCCGCGCCACATTCGGTCGCGAAAACGAAGACGTAGCCGCATCCACGAATAGCGGCGTACCCAAGCAGGAGACAAGATGAAATAGACATGGCTTAGCAAATAAGTGAATTGGGAGTTTGGGCAATCTAAACCAGACGGGAGCAAGGGAAGACTCTCTGTTCACATGGAACTTAGATGTCCACTTAAAAACCCTCATGGGGGATCCATTCACATACCACAAACTTCGTCCCCAAACGCGAAGGAAATCCGCTTCACACTGAAATTTCAGCAACACATGCCTATCATCTAACAATCCCACAGTCGCCGTATCCTTCAAATCAAGAGTCGACAAGAATTTCCTCAGGTCAGGCAGCAGCGGCCGCCCCTTAGAGAACTTCCCAACCAAAGTGTAGCGGAATGGAGCAGCAACCACTGCTATGTCAGCCGCACTGAAGACCACCGCAGGCTCTCCACGGTGTGTTGTCATCCTCGCTTGAACTTGCACTACCTCGGACGTCGGTTGTGGCTCAAACAACGCAGAGAAGGCCTTCTTCCTAAAGGGGGAGGAAGAGGCCGACAGCCCCCCACCCGGAGGAGGGGGGGCAGTCTCGGCTGCCATGGTTAAGAGAGGACAGTGTATAATAAATGTCTAAAACTCAAGTTGGATAAGTTTATAGGAGATTTGTTTAGCATAATTGTAGCAAAATTATAGAAAAGTTGCTTAGTATAATAGCACATATTTTGGTGTATAAATGGATGCTGTATCCTGTACTAAAATTTTAATATACACAATTCTTCTTTAAAAAAAAAGCACATATTTTCATGTATAAATAGATGTTATATCCCTGTACATAAAATATAATATACACAATTCTTCTCTAAAATATAATATCCCTGTATCCCTGTACATAAAAAAAAATTAAAAAAAGTTATATCCCTGTAATATAATATCCCTGTATCCCTGTACATAAAAAAATGTTATATCCCTATAGATTTTTTTTGAGAAGAATTGTGTGTATTATATTTTATGTACAGGGATATAACATCCATTTATGCATGAAAATATGTGCTATTACGCTAAACAAATTTCCGATAATTATGTTACAATTATGCTAAAAAAATCTCCTATAATTATGCTAAAAAAAATCTCCTATTATTATGCTATAATTATACTAAGCAAATCATCTTAGACAACTCTCCATGCTAACACCTATAATCATGCTGACAAATTGAAAGGCTTCACCACTCTTAGACCCCATTGCCAGCGGGGGTATATAGCTTTTTGCCCCTCATGAGGACTTTTCTACCTGCATTTTGCCCACACTGAGTAATAATCAGGCATAGAAGGACTCATTATTTATTTCTCTAGCAACCAAACAACTTAGGAGAATAAATGTAGGACAGAAAGTTGTGCGGTCATTTTCAACTTCTTGTTTGTTTGTGCATCTTATTGCACCCATCATCAAAGCTAACTAATTCAAGGACAAGTTATCTTATCATCTAATCTGTCATTTTATTGAGTAAATGCCACATCCATCGCATGTTGATGTTGATTCGAGCAAGTTGGCGAGATTGGAGAGTTGCAAAAGACAGTGGCATTTTTGGATTTGAAGGGCAGGCTGATTTCGTCTGGCTATAATAGAATTACTTCATGGAGCTTGGTAGGTGGAATATGTGACTTGGACATTGACACTTCTCCTGTCTTGTGCATGGTGGTTGGTGGAGATCAGAATATACTCCAAGCTAAGAATCAGCAACGCATATCGAAGCTTCATTCTTGCACTTTGGTTGCAGAGTATTCCCAACGAAAATGGTTTAGTTTCTGTTTTCTTTTGCCATGGTTTTAATTTGCAGGACAAGAGATGAGGAAAGGGTAGGAAAAATGCAAGAAAACGTTTCAACATTTGCATTAATCAAATACATGCACATAGAGCAAAGCATAATTGATCTTTCTTTAGTTTCACACACTTTGGCTAGCGATGGATCGAACATTACCTGTTATTGCTCCCTTAAATTCTGCAAAATTTATTCTGCGAGTATTAATTTTGGATGCCAATTAGTTACAGCTCTTAATTTTCACTACTTTTAACCAGCTATACTAAGAGGCAAGAATTATGGCCGTTAGGCATACGGAAGTTTGAGAATGAAGTGAGTACAAAATCATAAGAATTAGTTTAAAACTAATTACATATAATGGGACATAAACACCACACAGAAAAAGATAGGATATTGTTTATTTCCTTCCAAAACTTCCAGTTTATGTAGACTTGTGGTTAACATATTTATTTATTTTTATCAATTTTTTCAAAGAAATAATTTTCAAAAAATTGGTAAATAACACTTATTAGGATATTCAGATCCCTTCAAGTTTGAAAAGTTACAAATATCTTACTTAGTATTCTGAAAAAAGAAATTGTATATGCTGGATTTGTTGTGTTCTAAAAGATATTACATTTTTTCTCAATTTTTTTGGTATTATCTGTATCTTCCCTTTAGAATAAGAATTTCACATTGTCTTTTTCTTTAGAAATTAACCTGAGATTCACAATAGCTCCCTGATGCAATACAACGCCAATCTTTACTCTTGTAAGGTAGGTGACTTACTCTCACTCTACAAATTCTGTAGGAGAGAGACGCCACTCCTAAATTTTAATCTCACGATGAAATATCAAATCCCAATACTTCTCTAAATTAATAGAATTTGTGTAATCTCAAAGTTATTAATTGAGCAAATTATTCGGATGACCACTGAACTTTTGGAATCGTTGAGTTTAACCATTGAACTATTAAATGTCTGGTTTTGATCACTGAACTATTTAAAATTTAAATTTCAGGTCATTCCGTCAACTTTAATCGTTAACCATGCCTCTTTTTTTGTCTCGTGAATCGTGCGAACACTCAAATTTGTTATGTTTAACGATTAAATCTAACGGAATGGCTCGATATCTAAATTTTATATAGTTTAGTGGTTAAAACCAGACTTTTAATAATTTAATGATCAAAACTCAACGATTTTAAAAGTTTGGTGATCATCCAGATAATTTGCTCTTATTAATTTATAGAGGTTTTACTATATAATAATAATATTTTCAGCGTCATGTGGTTATCCAATCAGAGAATGAAAACCTTATAATTCCAGTCCAAAATGAAGCCGCCGACGCAACTATAAAATACTCTGTCTCCATGAACTAAAACGAGCAAAATCTTTTTTTTTTTTAATTTTAAAACTTGGTTTCAATTGCTGTGGGTGTTTTTTTTAAAAAAAAAAAATCATTCCAAATCAGGTTTTGAATTCTCATACCCCATCCCCACCGCTAAATAGAATATATCACAGCCTTGCACTTTATTTTGGATAGCTACTCTTGAGTTTGGGCACTCCTACCCTGCAGAAGCGATGCCGTCGATGGTGGAGGATGGAGTGGCCAATAATGGTGGTTGGGAGGAGTTGCTGAGATCGAAAGAATTCGATTGAGAACAATGCTGGTGGTTGCTACTGGATAGGGAATAAACTCTTAAATGTTAGAATTCTACATGGTTATTAAAAATTATAGAAGCAATAAATTTTGGAGTTGAATTGCTTTTGGAATAGTTTTTGAAGAAATGGTTATTTTGGCCGAAGTTGCAGTTGCCTGGATCTCTGACCAGTCCATTCTTTGAATAATCGTATGATTTAGTTATTGTAACTTTCTTTTGTAGTTTCTCTAGGATGGAGTCCAGAGCTGGTCTTTGGACATTGCTTCAAATTGTAAATCTTTCTTGCTATATATTTCAAGATATTGCGAACTTGCCACCCAAAAATGGCAAAAAAAAAAAAAAAAGAAGGTCTAGGCAGCTTATAAGTTTAGAAGAAATGCACAGTACAGGTAACATGGTTCCAAGATCTTTGACAACAGTTTCTAATCTGACAAAGATAAATTTATTAGTATCTGCCAATTTTGACTTTTAAGTCGGTTTGAAATGTTAGGTTTTAGGGACACTATGCAGCGGAAAAATAAAAATTTTTCCCTAAAACTATCCAGGAATCACCCTAGATTTTACGTATGATGCATTAAAAGGAGGGTTATAGGATTACCTTAATCCTTGCGGCGTCTCCCTGTAGTGTTGTTGAGGATGGTCAGCCCTTGAGCAGTCCAGCCGTCCTGCCTCTACTGATATCCACGCTAGAGCAACCCTGGGTCGTCTCACGAACTATGTATTGAAGAGCAAGAAAAAGTTGCTAGCCCTTCTTGCTCTTATTCGAAGTATGTGACGCTCACAGACTCTCCCTTTTGCCTTTTTGGTTACCTTCACCCTCAAAACCCATCCTCTATCTCTCCCTTAGGAGTTAAAAGGAGAGAGAGAGATAATAAGATAGAATGATGAGTCTTGTTGTCTGATTCAAAATCAAACGATAAGACTTCTCATCACACAAGACTCTATCTATCAGTTATCTAACATATAAGAGATAATCGTTCACTCTTATATACTCAAATAGGCCTGGGATTTATTTTCTTTTAAAATTAAACCCCGATAATTTACATAGTTTTAATCCAGGATTAAATCTCTATTGCGTGTGACCCAATAGGCCCCGAATAAATTGGTAATAATTATGGTTTAATAATTAGATAAAATAAACGACTTTATTTTATCATAACTTATAATAAAACATCAATCCATAATTCTAGACCACGAGCGGTGTCTAGCAATACATCGTGATTGCCCAATTCCTCGGAATTAGTCAAGGGAATTTGACCTAACCTTTCCGTGAAAAATTACCGTGTAATTATTATCCTTTCACCAAAGATATCCAATTAGTCAGGAATGAGGAATAAGTGCCAATTCCCTGATGACTAATTAAGTTTTTCTAGTTCCCGAAATTTACCCTGAATTAGGTTAAATTGAAGACATTCTTCAATTTATCTAATAGTTGACTTTAGGGTTAATTTTCTACTAGTGGCCATCCAGATATCAACTCCTTCTATCAGAGTGGTAAATTCTATCTTGATCACCCATTTTCTTTACGTGCTTCACACTACATCCAACTTCTACACTTTAAGGTACTCATGAAGAGTAACAAGTAATTAGAGTCAAAATGTAGTGATTCACACTCAAGATACTATGGTGATCTCAAGTCGTAGGATCACTTACACAATTTTTCACTAGAGATACACCATTGGCACTAGATAGATATGCTAACGGGATCTCTAAACGGATCACTCCAATGCATTTGAACTCTTCAAATCATCTACACATTAGCCTAGATATCTTCATACCATGGTTGATGAGAACAACCACTAATTACCTTAATCAGAGGCTAACTGTGTATTAGTTTTACCGTACTAAAGATGTCCTATTTCATTAGTACTATAACTAGGAAATTCTAAGAATATTACTATAAATGCGATTGATATCTCATGGTCACCAACTCTTGTGACTACCATCACATCAGTAAATATTCTAAGGACTTTATCGGTTATAACTAATATTTAACAGATAAATAAGAAGTTATTAAAATACAAAACATATAATAAGGAATGCATAAAATAAAACAAATACATTGTTTTAGGGCATACACTCCAACATGAAACTTTTCTGCTAATTTGGTTCTTTAAACACGTATTCCTTATGTTTTTTCCCATTACTTTAATTTATCTTTTGGTCATTAGTTAATTGATTTTTTTTATTGGAAGTTCTATAATTCTTCTAATTTTTCCATTTCTCTACTCCTATAATTAATTGGTAGATTAACTCTTAGTTATAGGATTAATCTTTCCTACACTGACAGTGTATATATTGTCAGCATTGGATGAATAGCAACTATGCAGAATTTGAATTTGAAATTCAACTTTTGCACATATGTCATAAATCAAACAGTGATAGTGTATACACTGTCAGTGTATCTAACATTTACTCTTAGTTATAATTATTACTTCTAGAACTTTGGCGATTTCATTTTTTATCATGAAATTCTCGCTTGAATATAAAATGTTACTCATACTGTTCCACTTTGATTGTCCAATTAATCTTGTGTTTATTCATATTTCTCTAGTTATTAATAGTTCCACCAGATGTTCTAAGAGTTCAGGTAAGTCGTGAATTTTAAAATCATTCTTTTCTTAGCCTTTCTAAGATTATATGTACCTTCCTTAAATTTGCCACTTTGCTTCTTACCTTTTTAAGCATTGCATCTTAAAGAACCACTAAACGCAAGGATATGGTAAATTTTATCCCAAAATATTGCAATTTCTATTGTTCTATTGCTGCTTTATTCTATGGAAAACTAGAAGTGAAAGAAAAAAAAATTAGAAGGAAAAGAGAAATCGAAAAGAGGAGCCACTAAAGCAATTATGCAGTTATTTCACTAATCTTAACATATATGACAGAGAGTAATTCATTCACTACTTCTTTTGAGAAACTCTTCTCGGCCAATTAGTAAGACAAAAGTTAAGGGGAAACGAAAATGATTAATGCTTTCCAATCGACCAATTTTTTAGCACTTGTAAAACAGAATAATGTATTAACTGGAATACACTGAAAGAGAATATAGTCTTATTAAAGATCATATGAGATAAAAAAAAAATGGAAGCTAGTTTCCACTCATGAGGCATTGGAACTTTTCTATGGAGGATTCTTCCCCAATCATTCCAGTGCAATGAACGGGTACAAAACTGGTTGATTTTTACATATTGCAACACAAATTGCCAGCACAAAAAACAATTTAAGGTGACCACACCAATTATTAATCTTTTATTTTTGCTCTTCCAATGTTATATACGACCTAATCTTCTCAATTGTAACAGGCCAAAAAGCCTAACAATCAATCTATAATCTATACCTTATGGAAATGGGAGAGATTCATCCCAAACCACGTGCTGTATTGCTATCTTACCCTCTCCAAGGCCATGTCGTTCCTTCAATTCACCTAGCCAAAAAACTTGCGTCAAGTGGCTTCATTATCACCTTTATAAATACTGAATCGATACACCATCAAATAACAAAATCCAGAAACCAACCCAACCACCAAGATGAAGACGGTGACATCTTTGCCGAAACATGAAAATCAGGGTTAGACATGATATATGCGACTGTTAATGGTGGACTTCCACCGGAATTTGACAGATCACCTAATCGTCAAGAGTGTTATGAAGGACTTCTTCATGTTACGACAGCTAATGTTGATGAACTTATTGGGAAGTGTTATGACTTGAGCCAGTAGAAAGAAAAGAAATGAAAGATTGGGTCTGAGAGGTAATGGAGAGAGAGAGAAGAATATTATTCAGATTCAAGGAAAGAAAAGAAATCATACAATCCGTGCCTACTACTGCTACCCAGCCCATCATATATAGGCAGTGCTTTCCTGCTAACAAATTGGTTTTGTCTGTATGCATGGGTAGTTACACCCTTTTAACAACTTTCCCTGCCGTCTGCATGCATGGTAGTTACACCCTTATTCTAACTAACGTAATGAATTACAATATTATCCCTCAGGCTCTTGACTGTTTACATTTTAGTCCCTGTGATCCATAACAATACTTCCCCCTTCACACAATCCTAGACTCTAGGATTGGACTCCAAACTTAGTTTGCCCAAGTCGCGTAGACTCTAGGATGGGATTCCAAACTCAGGAAACTGAGCCTGCATCACTGTGATATCCTCCCAAGTTGCGTCAGCTGCATCAAGATTTTCCCACTGGATTAATGCTTGCTCCACGTCTCTCCCATGTCGTTGCAGAGTCCTTCTAGCAAGGACAACTGCAGGAGTTATTTTGACCTCACCCTCCTCAGTGAGCGTGGGTGGTTGCGAGTGCACAACAGCTCCTTTTGCAGATGGTTTCAATAAGGAAACATGGAATACAGGGTGCACGGTTGATCCCTGAGGTAGCTCCAACCTATAAGCCACTGGTCCAATCTTTTCCAGCACCCTATAAGGCCCGTAGTATTTGGAAGAGAGCTTCAAATTCCTCCTTAAGGCAATGGATGTTTGTTTGTATGGTTGCAATTTGAGATACACCAGATCACCTACTTCAAATGATCTCTCCGTCCTGTTTCTGTCAGCATACTGCTTCATCAGGTTTTGGGCTCTGAGTAAGTTTTCCTTCAGCAATTGGTTCCAATTAACTCTTTCTGCCCACCAGTCCTCTACCTCAGCTACTTTAGAGGACCTGTCTCTTAGACTCAACTGGGGTGGGGCATACCCGTACAAGGCCTGGAAGGGTGACATTCGCAGAGCTGTATGATGATTAGTATTATACCACCATTCTGCAGCAGTGAGGCACCTCTTCCATTTCTTGGGTTGTTGGAAGCACAAGCACCTTAGATATGTCTCCAAACACCTGTTCACTCTTTCGGTTTGACCATCAGTCTGAGGATGGTAACTGGTCGACAAATGCAGCTGGGTGCCCACTCTGTTGAATAGTTCTTGCCAAAATATGCTTGTAAACACCTTGTCCCTATCAGTTACAATGCTTGACGGTAACCCATGGAGCTTGTATATGTTGTCGAAGAACACCTGGGCCACTCCTTTGGCAGTGTAATGGTTGCTGATAGCGAAGAAATGTGCCACCTTGGTGAACCTGTCCACTATTACCAGGATCACATTACTCCCTTCTGATTTGGGCAGCCCCTCAACGAAATCCATTGCTATGTGTTGCCACGCTTGTTCCGGAATGTCCAATGGTTGTAACAGTCCCGGGTACTTGCAATGCTCCCCTTTACTGATCTTACAAGTTTCACATTGTTGGACAAAGTCCTCCACCTCTCTTTTCATGCCTGCCCAGAAGAAGTACCCCTTCAGTCTCTGGTAAGTGCCCAAGTTTCCCGAATGACCCCCAATCCATGATTCGTGCATGCATGAGATAAGCTGCTGTCTCAAAGTTCCTGTAGCTCCAATCAGTATCCTTCCCTTGTACTTGATGATTCCCTGCTGATAAGTGTGATCGGGTATGGCTTGGTCATCTATTGCCAGAGCCTGGAGTAGATCCTTAACCTTGGGGTCACCATTATAGCTCTCAATCACCTTCGTGAGCCACATTGGTCTGACTATAGACATAGCATGCACCCCCTTTGTACTCTCCACTCGTCTCTCCTCCCCTCCATCCTCCAATCCCTTTCTGGACAAGGCATCAGCCACTAAGTTCTCTTTTCCCCTTTTATAGTGAATTTCATAGTCCATCCCCATCAGTTTGGTGAGCCACTTTTGTTGGAGTGGGGTGGTGATCCTTTGCTCCAATAGGAACCTCAAACTGTAATGATCAGTTTTTATGATGAAATGGTTCCCAAGGAGATAGTGTCTCCATTTGGTCACGGCAGAAATGAGTGAAAGTAGCTCCTTCTCATAAATAGATAAGGATTGGTTCTGGGGTCCCAACGCCTGGCTCATGAAGGCAATAGGATGTCCCTGCTGCATGAGCACAGCTCCAATAGCCTTACTGCTAGCGTCTGTCTCCAACACAAATGGCTTGCTGAAATCTGGCAATGCCAACACAGGTGTAGAACTCATGGCCTTTTTGAGCTCATTGAAGGCCAACATAGTCTCAGGTGTCCAGTTAAAGCTATTCTTCTTCAAAAGGTCAGTCAAAGGTTTGGTGATCAAACCATAATTCCTCACAAACCTCCTGTAATAGCCCGTTAACCCCAGGAAGCCTCGAAGAGCCTTAACCGAAGCAGGGACAGGCCAGGAAAGCATGCTGTCAATTTTTGCAGGATCAGCAATCACCCCTTCTCGGGTAACCACATGACCAAGATATTCTACTTGCGACTGACCAAAGGAACATTTGGAGAGTTTGGCTAGGAGAGAGTGGTGTCTGAGTGTGTCAAGTACTATTTTCAGGTGTGTGAGGTGAGCTTCAGGGTCAGGGCTGTAAATCAATATGTCATCAAAGAAAACAAGGACAAATTTCCTGATGTATGGTTCAAATATGGAGTTCATGAGTGTTTGGAAGGTGGCTGGTGCATTAGTAAGCCCAAAGGGCATTACAACAAATTCGTAAAGGCCTTGATGTGTCCTAAAAGCAGTTTTAGGTATGTCTTCTATACACATCCTGATCTGATGGTAACCAGATCGGAGGTCAATTTTGGAGAAATATATGGCTCCGCAAAGTTCATCCAACAGATCGTCTATTATAGGAATTGGGAACTTATCTTTGATGGTAAGGCTATTTAATTGTCTGTAATCAATGCAAAACCTCCAAGTCCCATCTTTTTTCTTGACCAGTAGAACGGGTGAGGCGAAAGGGCTGTGACTCGGTTTAATGATTCCACTGTGGAGCATGTCTTTCACTTGTTTCTCTATTTCAGTTTTCTATGCGTGAGGGTATCTGTAGGGTGGTATTTTAAAAGGCTTGGCATCAGGTTTGAGGGGTATTTGGTGATCATATGCTCTAGAAGGGGGCAACTGTTTAGGCTCTCCAAATACATCACTATAGTCAACAAGTAGTTGGTCAATAGAAGTTTGTAATGTAGTTACCTGAGTGGAGTGGGAGCTGATGCTGTCGAATTGTTTAAGCATCCTCTTCCTTCTGTTCCTAATCCCAACAGGTCCGGAATCTCCCCTACTCAAGGTGACTGCATCATCTCGGCTGTTTCCTTGTAGCACTACCCGTTCCCCCTCATAGTCAAAGGAGAGATTGAGCTCCTTGAAGTCAAAAGTGAGGGGGCTATACTTCTTCATCCAGTCCACGCCTAGAATGAGATCATATGGCTCCAGGTCTAGAATGAACGCAGCATGAGTGAAAGAATAGCCTTGTATAGTCCACCTCCAGTCCGGGATCCAACTAGTACAGATGAGTTCCTTTCCATCAGCAATGGTGACTTTGAAAGGTCTGTGAGCCTGAACATCCCCCAAAAATTTTGCTGCAGTGGCTCTCTTGATGAAACAGTGTGTGCTTCCCCCATCCAGTAATATATTTATTCGACATCCTCGGCTCTCCCCTTGCAATTTGATAGTGCCACTAGTCAGCATGTCGTTAGACAGGCTGTGAATGGTGAATTCTATGTCAGAGTCTGGCTTTTTTCCAGAAGTATGCATGTTGCGCTCCTCTTTCTTCCCACTATACTGAATGATCTCTTCCTCTTCGCTCTCGCCCGAATCAACCTCCATCTCCTCTGTCACGATCATGTGTATTCCCTTGTTCCTGCAAGTGTGGCCGGGGCCAAACTTGTCTCCACATTTGAAACAAAGATTGTGTTCTCTCCTATATTGGAACTCGTTGGGGGATATCTTCTTGAATGTGGAACTGGTATTTGAGCTATTTGAGTTGGTAGGATAGGCTTTCTTAGCTAGCTGTTCTCCTGTGTATGGAAGACCTACTTGCTTCTGTCCTCCTCCTCCCGTGGATGGTACGGATGATGCACCGCCCCTAGTCATGGACTTGTACTTCCTGACCAGAGCTTCCATCGCGATTTCCTGACTCCTGGAGACTTCAAATGCCTCTTGTAGGGTGGCGGGCTTATGGACCTTGACCATTGTCCTGATTTCCTCGGGTAATCCACTCAGGAAACTTGAAATAAAATAAGGCTCGCTCAAACCTGGATTTTTGGCCAAAACCAACGCCCTTAGCTCCTCAAATTTTTCCTGGTAATCAATGACGGTAGAGGTCAGCTGCAATTTGTTGAACTCCGCCACTACATCTGGTCCCCCAAGCTCACCAAATCTTCGACACAACTCCTCACTGAAATCCTCCCACTGTATCGTCCGCCGCCCTATTTTGAAACTCTGAAACCAAACATCTGCTTTCCCCACCAAGTGGAGCTCAGCTATGTTCATCATCTGGCTCGCAGGTATTTGGTAGACCAGAAAAAAATTTTCCGCCTTCCTAACCCACTCCCTCGGGTTCCGTCCTTCAAAATGAGGAAACTCCAGCCTTGGAGTCCCTGGAAAGAAAGGACTTCTGTCGAGCCTCTCCCCCTGCCCCAACTCGCCTTCCCCTCGCTTTCCACCACCAGAGGTCAAACCTCGTTCGGCAGACCCTGTAGGTGTTGCGAGGATGCCACGGTCATTATGGCTGGACTTCATCTGGTTGAGCTGAGCCATAATAGCCGCCATGCAACTTCTGATCTCCGTGGAGTTGGACTCCATTTTTGCAGAATGCGACTCCAATTTATCCTCCATAATCTTTAACGCCTCTTGCGTGGAATCGATGAATCCCTGCAACCGAGTCTCTTGCTTACGTATCTGTTCTTCAAGAGTTTTCAAGCGAGTGCCCTCGGCCATGGCAGATTCAGCTGCGGATTACTATTGTGAAAGAAGGTTCGAAAGAAGGTTTGACTGGGCGAAGCCTGCAATCCAAGGGTCGCAGGCTCTGATACCACTGTTATGACTTGAGCCAGTAGAAAGAAAAGAAATGAAAGATTGGGTCTGAGAGGTAATGGAGAGAGAGAGAAGAATATTATTCAGATTCAAGGAAAGAAAAGAAATCATGCAATCCGTGCCTACTACTGCTACCCAGCCCATCATATATAGGCAGTGCTTTCCTGCTAACAAATTGGTTTTGTCTGTATGCATGGGTAGTTACACCCTTTTAACAACTTTCCCTGCCGTCTGCATGCATGGTAGTTACACCCTTATTCTAACTAACGTAATGAATTACAATATTATCCCTCAGGCTCTTGACTGTTTACATTTTAGTCCCTGTGATCCATAACAGGAAGTTTGTTCAAACCGAACCTGTTTGGTTGCTGATACTTTTTACGTATTTGCATCATCAATAGCCAAGAAGTAAACGGTTGTGAATATTTCTTTCTGGACTCTGGACTGAACCAGCTTTGGCTTTCACTCTCTATTGTCACATATCTCTTGAGGATAAATGGTCACCACGATAATATTGGTATATTCTCGCTCCCTCTTTCTGTCTCTCAAGTTGTATACAGATTCACACACACACACACACACGTTCTAGTACATTTTTTTTCTTTAATAGTTCGACAAATATACATCAGCTAGGCCTCTTTTATTTATTTATTTTTCTTATTGTTATTAATTCAAAAGGAGGATTCTAAATCTAACAGGGGAGAAAAGAGAAACGGAAGGACTTGAGAGTTGAACCAAGAATTTTATGGTTACCCAACTATTATCCCTAACAGCTAAGTTGGATCATAGAGTTACGGAGTCAGGCCCCTACAGCTATAGGGGTCAATCTCCAACAACAAAGAATGCAGTAATAATAGTGAGCTAAAATCACTGAAAGTCTATGTCGAACATACACTTTTTCCCAAATGTAAAATATATTTTCAAGTTTAAATTGTGGTTAAATTTAGCAATAAAAATCACCCTATCAATTTGAATTTAGAAACGTCGAAAGAGCTTATTCTTGGATTAGTATCCATATTTTTAACACTTTTATGAAGGGTTAATGATTATGAAATCTTTAATTATTTAAAAAACGGGCAATGCATTAGAAAAGACAATTTTGTAGATATTTGAGGGGGGAGGGGACAATGCACTTAGAAAAGAGAATATTTTAGATTTTGGAGGGGAGGGGTTGGGAAGGGGACAAATAGGGAGCAATTTAAAAAAATTTCTAAACTTTGTAAACCTAAAAAGTTATTTTCTTAAAGTTGAGGAGGGAAAGGACAATTGCTCACCCTTGAGTGCATGTGACTCCACCAGACTAGGTATATCCATGGGGAGTGTCTGGTTAGATTTTTCTGATCTAGATCCAAATCTATTAAATTTAATTAAATTAAATTTAGACCCAAATTCAGGCCCAAATCCTTATGGATTTGAAAAAGTAAACTCAGACCTGGACCCTCATTTGAATATTGAATGAGCATACGTGGTTATTTTTCTGAATATATAGTAAAGAATTAAAGTAAAAATATTTTGAAAATATATAGAGTTCAAAACTAACATAAATACTGTGCAATTTTTATTTTTAAATAATAAAATTAACATTCAAAATGTTGAATGCAATATTATTTTCAAAGTTTTGTCTACAGTCTCATCCAATCTCTCATTTGTTTTCCTTTAATTTTTCTCCCTGAAAAACTTTGTACCAATTACAATGACATAGTATATTAGATTATTTATAGATTTATTAATATATATATATGTATGTATATATATGTGTATATGTATGTATGTATGTTTCATTTCTATATGAGTTTGGATAGGATTTAGTTTGAATTTAGGTTAGGGTATAAATCATAGAAAACCATACCATACCAAAACTCATGATTCTCTTATGAAGTTTGGGTCTGGATAGGATCCAGATTTGAGAAATTAAATCTAAACTCTACCCAGATGTATTAGGTCTGGATTGGTTTTTAGTCAAACCTGACTCATTGACATGCTTTGTCTATGTGCGCTAGTTTTCAAGGGGATAAGAAATAAGCACAGGGTATTATGAGCATGTATCCTTTGTTCGTGCTGCAATAATTGATTTTAAAAGATAAATAAGACTATTTACCAAGCATAAATTTAAGGGTGCATATGATAATTGCCTCAATTCAGGTTTTTCACAGCTAAAGGATTTTCTTACATGTTTTTTGAGTTACACGTACCGACCTAGATTTTGTTGTTTTTAGTTTTGGCGTAGTTCAAAGACATTTTTCTAGCCACTAAACTTTCAGCTTTATATATATTTAGCCCTCCAACTATTAAAAATTTTTATTTGCACACAGATTTCATTAAAGTGCATAATTTTGGCCATTTAATATGTTTCCATAGGTGAGAGAATTCATAGTTCGAAGAAAACTAGAATAAAATGATTCATGACTAAAAGAAAACCTTAAAAAAATTAATGTTCTGAAAAGCCCAACATTATATTCCATTTCCTCGGTTCAGTCTTCTCCTATTTACTAAGCTTGTCAATTGGGCCATTTAAGCCCAAGTTCGCCTCATAGAGTTGATACCACTTTCTGATTGAGGTATGAGTTTCAGATTGATAAATGTGAATCTCATATTTGGTTCATAAAATATTTGGGTTGTGAGCATAATTCAAATTTAACCCAAAGTCACTTATTGCTCATTAATTTTCTTAAAATAATTATTATAACTATTAAGTTCTAAAACTAATTTAACATCAATAAGATCACAACATTAAAACTGTACACGAACATGTAACAATTCATTGAAAAGTACATAAATCTAGAATTTTTAACGATAATAAATCAAATTAGTACAAAGTATATGAAAAATAGTAATAAAACATGATCAACAGTCAATATATTTTCAAAGGTTTTCAATTTACTAATATTAAAATTTGTCCACTCTCTTTGTTCACAATGACCAGATTTAAATAGAAATACAACTTTTGAATCCAATTAGAAGTAAACAAATTAATTTGTCTCATGAGTTACAAGAAAGAAGAAAATAGACCAAGAAATGATGGTGGTTAATTCAAATAGAGTTTAAACTGGTGGAGTATACAAAAGGTATGCCTTGTCATTGAAACTACCCATGCATGTTTAATCAAAATATAAGTAACTATTATAAAAGGAGTGAGTCAGCATTCAGGTAACATATTAGCAATATTGAGATAGTTAATCCAAGAATCTAACAACTTCGCATAAGAAGTAACCAATATTATATCAATATAAAAATTTACTAAACCAAAAAGTAAGTTAGAGTTTAAGTTATGAATTACCATTATTAGCCCGCAAGAAAGCAATAGGATTATTGATTATAAGCATATCTAGGATTTTGGGATTTAGCCAGTAATACTTGACATGTATTTTAATTGTGTCTTGACAATAGATGATTTGAGTGATAGTCATTGTTTGAATTTGATCACTTGATTTGTTGTTTCTTATGCTTGAGGACAAGTATGGTCTAGGTGTGGGGGGAATTGATAGGGTGCAAATTGTTATTAAATTTATGATTAATTTTTCCTTTTATTCTTGCCAAATATTGTTTTAATTGTCAGATTCTACTTATATTTGGCATTTTATGTTAATTATAGGGCATTGGAGCAAAAGGTGTTAAAAAGGGGGTAATTTCCCAACAATTGCAATCAACCCCAGACGATTCGGGATTTACGTGCGGAAGTTTCCTAATTCGAGCCAAATTCCAAAGTGCCTTTGGTGGTAAATTTAGAAATCATTTTCTTAGTTGTAGGAATTAATTAGGTAATGCGAGACATTATATTTTGTAGTTTCTTTCTTTTATTAAAAAAAAGATGTTTCATTAGTAGTAGGATACACGAAGTAGGAAACTGGGGAGAAAAAGAAGACCGAATTCCCGTTGGATTGATACTTCGGCAATAAGTAGAATTGCGAGTGACTAGTCAGGGGACTAGTCACTCTGACTAGTCACTTAGATTAGTTTTTTGTCTTTGCTTTTTGGCCGCATGTCATGGGCTTTCTTTCATAACATTGTGTTAGGAATTTTCTCAACAATGAAGAACTAATTTCTTTTTCTAGTCGAAGGTCAGCTTGAAGACGCGGTCTTAAACATTTGTGAGATCGAATTATTTTACTTATTTTTTTTATTTATTAGTATTCGTATATTTTCTAGTTTAACTTCTTATGATTGTTGTGTTATTTGAATAGCATGGGCCTGATATTTGAATTAATCTAATAATCTATTGTCAGATTAATTGATTAAATCCTTAATTATTTGATCGATTACTACTAGTGGCGACTAGCGTGATTGGTCCCATGTTAGGGAAACGTATGATCAAATTTAAACAAACCCTCGTAGCGCGTTTGTTGGTTAGGGTTGGACTTTTCTAATTTTTAATGCAATCGAAGAATTAAATCCTACGGTCGTACTTAGGGTTGTTTTTTATTAGAGAAATAGTCAACGGTTGTACCTTGGCTATCGATAAAATAAGGAAAAATTGATTGTCAGAGTTTGTTGATGACTATAAGCAATCTATTAATGAGTAATTGAGTTATCTTTGCATTGATGATCAGTTGAATGGACCGTGTCTGAAGAGTTGCACTTTTGGCTAGAGTCGTATCTATTGTTGATTAATTCCTATTTATTTCCGTTAGTTATTTTATTAGTTGGTTAATTAGTTGTTTCTATATTTTCTAAAATTCCCCCTATTCAGGACTCTAGAAGAAACGAATTATCCTCAATTTCTATGGATTCGACACTGCTCACCGCTATATACAAAAATTTATATTTTTCTTGAGTTGGTAATTATTATTACACAAGCTTGACACCTGTCTATTATTGGCGCCGTTGCTGGGGACTGGTATCTGATTAATTTGTTTTTTTTTTAGTTCATCTTTTTTTCATTTTTCATTTTTCTCTTTTTTTTTTAC